TTCATGATTTTGCTTCAATCGCATAAAAACTTCTACTAGTGTCTTAACAGTCCTTGGAGCCAAGACGTTCTAACTTAAAAAAACACAAAGAAAATTTCTAATATCACAGTATACTAAGATATCTATATATAAAGCCAAAAGTACCCATGAACTTTTTTAGGAAACTACAAGTTACACCCCCATAAACCATATACTTAAAATATTCGTCATGACGAGAAACCTTGCGCAAAATTATCCATTATTTCTTAAATTGCCCTATAAGGTCGTAATTGCTTTCCATATACCTAATGTTAAAAATACCTCAGCTGTAAGTAAGTTTTGTTTATTTCAGCTTAACCTAACCAATCAATATTTTTATTAATACTTATGAAGTCAAACGGGGTGAAGCCCATGGGTAACAACTAGTTCATCTCTTTGGTATTTGAAAAAATATTTTTAGATGCAAAATTTTAATAACTCTTCAGTGGATGTTTGAAAATAAAATAGTTAAATTAACATTGCTCTTATGGCGGGCAAATCGAAGGTGGCTGTTGGCTTCCATGGACTCTCTTGGAAATCAATTCAAAACAAGAAAGAAAATTTCTAATCTCATAGTTTACTTGATTAGCCCAGGCAAATTAGACATATGCTCCCCAAAAAATCGTCTAAAGCTGGAAAGTGTTTTAATACCTTTTGGGGGTCCCAAATGAGACTCCTGTGAGTTTGCGACGGATTTTGACGTCTGCTTAAGTTTTGGGAGTCGAAAAACTATGAAAATTTTGTACTTTTTTCAGTTTATCGCTTATAACTCCTAAATAACGAATCCTAAGGAAAATTTTCCTCAAAGGTGTCTTTTAGTGCATTAAATTCCGCGTCGATTGATGTTAAATACGTCAAAATCGGCCGAGCCGTTTAGCCGCTGTAGCTTTTCAAAGTTGGGATATTTTTATCAACATGGCCAAAAGGTTGTTTATTTGACCAGTTTTCGGCTTACAGTTAACTCCTAAACGACGCATGCTATACAAAAATGCACCTGTAGTTAGTTTGGAAAACACAAAATTCGGCATAGAATTATGATTATGAATTACTAGATATTGGTTTATTCCATGGTTATTATCGAGTGGTTTATCCAAGAAAGTGTGAAGATAAGGGTAGCAAGACCCCCTATGTAATCTTAAATCTAATATTGTTATCTGGGATTACAAAAATTCTAGGATTCGTCCTAAGCTCCCATTTACACGATCCCATCTCTGGACACTCCAAAATGGTGTTAAGCGATTCTAATATATAATAAGATATTACAACGAGAAAGATTTTATTAAATATAGCAAAAATGTTATTTTTTAGCTTAATAAACTAAAGATGATAATGGGACAGATGTACATAGTTTTACTATGTATTTAGCCTATTAAATAAAAACTATTGGGAGTTAACGTAGATTTTACCATATAACTTTTCTACTTCTCATCATTGGAATCTCAAGAATAAGGATTCATTCTTTGCTCTTATTGGTCTTGCCACAAATGGTGACATTCGGTACCATCTTTTTCGTCAGATTTCGAATTGAGATAATCGTGCCCCTTGCAAGTCTTTCAGACAGTAGTGCATTATATCCCTGCATTTCAAAAGGAGCAAGATAATGTAAACCTTTTTTAACATGTACACGATCGTCGAGATAGGTAGACGGAGTTGAGAAGTTCTTTTCGAACCGGTGGATTAACCGTAGTGATGGGAGTTAACCTATTGGCGTTAATTTTCCATACCGTACCTATCTCTCTGAATTAAGTACACTTTTAAATGAGCTCTAAAGGATTGGTGGATGAGCAGTCCCTTTTGTTAGAATCAAAGTCAAAATTAGTTGAGTGTCTTCTAGAAGAGACCAACCCTCACTTGATTTGGATATTTTCTGTTCCCAACCATGTACTGTATAGGGCCAACCTGCTTCTGCAACTTCGCCAAGCGTTGTAACCCGTCAGAACACAGTGAGATCTACATTGATTGGAGTAAACAGCATGAGTAGTTTTAGGCTACATGAATAGTTAGATTTTCGACTCTTCTGCATCACGCTTTCTTCTACATCAAGCATCTGATCTAGTGTTAACAATCAATAGCGGTTAAATGGTGAAGCCGATCTTAATGAATTGGAAAACATTCTACCCAGGCGTTTATGCTCTTCAAACTAACTACAGGAACATTTTTTTATAGCATGCGTTAGAAAATGCAAGTTAAAAACTGAATGATGAATACAGGGATAGATCGTATATAATGGGTGGTTGGGATGAATCCTAGAATTTTCGGAACCCCAGAGAACAATATTAGACTTAAAATTACATAGGGGGTCTTCCTCTCATCACACCTTATTAGATTAACCTCTGGATTACCATCATGGAATAAACCACCATCTAATAATTCATAATCCATTTAAGGACAGGATCTATGTTGTTACCAATTTTAGTAAAATTTCCCAACTTTAACTTTAATACTTTTTTCAATGAAATGGCGACCATACAAAGTAGGTAACAATCAATTGCCGTTATTGATTAATAAAAAAAAAACATACGCAGAATTTTGTGTTTCCCAAACTAACTACAGGTGCATTTTTGTATAGCATGCGTCGTTTAGGAGTTGTAAGCCAAAAGCTGGTCAAATAATCAACCTTTTGGCCATGTTGGTGCAATTACCCCAACTTTGAAAAGATACAGCGGCTAAACGGCTCGGCCGATTTTGACGTATTTAACACCAATCGACGCGAAATTAAATGTACTAAAAGACACCTTCGAACAACATTTTCCTTAGGACTGGTAATTTAGGAGTTATAAGCGAAAAACTGAAAAAAGTGTGAAATTTTCGTAGTTTTTCGACTCCCAAAACTTAAGCAGACGTCTTATTTGGGACCCCCAAAAGGTATTAAAACACTTTCCAGCTTTAGACGATTTTTTGGGGAGCACACCCTATATTTGATCTAATTTGCCTGGACTAGATATAATTATAACCACTTTGGTGTTTGAAAAACTATTTTTGTATGACAATTAACTCTTCAGCAGCTTTTTGAAATGGTCCGAGGCCGCTAGCCTCCAAGGACTCTTAAGAGAGCTGCCTACACTACTTTATTCACCCCCATTTTACTATAACTAGCTGACATTTTCAAAATTTCTAATACACCTTCCCGCAACTGTCAGTTGGGAAATCGTTTAGTTCACCTTAGGTTATGGAAAGAATGTGCGAGTTTCTGACTAAAGTCAGTAGATCAACAATAATTTGATATGGTTGTTTTGTTACCAAAATTTGACGTTTGAGGCATTAGCATTTAACCTCTTGTAAAGGTCAAAATTATAAATAAATCCCTATAAATACTTGTCAGTGGGGCTAGTCCTTTCCTGATTGGTGATAGTGGCAAAGCTATCCTGGTAAACGGAAGGCTGTAGGCCGTCTCGGACCTAACCTATGGGTGAACTAGTAATAAATCCTCTTTTGGCAAAATCACTGTTGTCGAGTTATTCACCTCGCGGAATCGTATTCTAGTTTAGAGTATGCTAGGAGTCTTAAGGAGTGATACAGTAAAATATATCAATAGGATAGGATTATTGTACGTTTTGATTAAATTGACAAGAGAGATTTTATCTTGTGTTAAACTGCTATAGGCTGAATTGAACCTTTTGAAGCAGGTCTGTGCAAACTCGTGGTTAGTTGAGGATTCAAAGATTCAAAGAGGGGTTGATAAAACTACCGCCAAAGTTTGCTTTATAACATCAACATTCAGTTTTTATTTCCAATTTAAATTCAATTACTTTAATCCCAAGTGAGATCAATGATAGTAAGGTACAGTAGCACTGTTGGTTATCGTTCTGACTTCACACCTGATCTACACTACTTTTTTGTGTATGCAAATCTGTACCTGTGGTAAATTGTAAATTAAATAAATATCATTATTTTGAAACCTGGAAACTTCACAGCCTTTGCCGACATGAGCCGCTGACGAGAGTTTGTGACAGCTTTTCGACTATCACTACGGAATGTTGTTTTATACTCTTTAGCAAGAAACTTTTTTCAGATGAACCTTGCTATGTTTACATTGCAAACTAGCTTTTAGCTGTGCTAGAGGAACAGGAAAATAGAAAGATTATATTCACAATTCTATAATGTTTAATGATGTCGTTTCCATTTGTACAAGTGCATGAAAATACAACTGATCAAAAAGATTCATCAGGTAAATATTTTGTTTCAGAAAGAAATTCTTAAAATAAAGCATAATTGGTACAAAGTAATTAATAACGTCTATTATACATATTTACATTACGACACATATCTAGAAGTAAGCTTAGACAAAATTTTGTAGAAAACGGTTTACCAAAATATATAATTACATTATAGTTTAATCACTAGTACTAAATTAATCTTACTTATGTATATGTGGTGTACTATGATTGTATAGATTTATGAGAATTAACATGGGTAACGTAGCAATAGAATCAATAATATACACAACATACAAAACAACAATAGTTATAGATTCATTGAAATAAGATTTTTTCTATGTGATGTCTGATCTGTTTTATTCTATTCACTATTCAAACCGAACAGTTAGACAAATTAATATTTACAGTATTTACATAGCTAAACTTTTCAATTACCGTAGTTATAAACAAACTAACATAAAAAACGAACATCGTGTTTGGTTCTAGACGATGTTACAGGCAAATCATATAATGCAGGCATTCTATAGAATGACTAGGCAATATCTACAATGTCTGAAGCTTTTAGGCAAAGAATCAAATAGAATAATAACGATAGGATTTTATACACCTTGACTAGGCGTTGTGTTATGATGCCTAGGCTAGGCATTCAATAAAATGCCTGTAGAGGTGTGTCAGCGTCAGGCAAAGTATAAAATAAAGATGTTTCAAATTTCAATGTTAGTAAAAAAATAAATAACTTAAAAAGTAAATAATTTAACAGGATTGATTTATTTTGTGTATAGTTAGGTCAATTTATTATTTGGAAGTCTTAAAAAATTCTTCAGAATAATGAAATATTGTTTAAAGGGTTAGTTTATTTTACATTAGATTTATGCCAAACAAGAGAACAAAAGTATATAAAAAGTCCAACATCAGTGTATTTTATACTTTGCTTAACATTTTCAGTGCCAACAGGCATCCTATAGAATAACGAGGCAAAGTATATAATAAGCTCTATTTCATACTTTCCTGTTTATTTGAGGCATTGGTAATTCTATACAGTTGAACCTCTATAAGACAAATTTCAAGGGGTACGGGAAAAATTTGTAATATAGAGGTATTCTTAGTAAAGAGGGTCGTTTTATCGAGGTTTAATGCTGCTGTTATTCTTCTAATAGAGGTTTCTCCAAACAATGACTGAGGAAGGAGGAGGGATGGGTAGGGGTTTCATGTTGAGACAAGCTTCTGTTTGTTTTGAAAACTACGTACTATGGAGGTTAAGATTATGAGAAATTTGTCTTATAGAGGTCATGTTTGTTTTGTAGAGGTTTTGTGCTAAGAATATTCGTTGATTAGAGGTTAATCAGTCCTAGCCCATGTCACAAACAAATTAGTCTTATGGAGGTTTTTAACTTAATTACTATGTTGTATAGAGGTGTTTTTAGCAATGACCTAGCCTATATGAAAGTGTCAAGGGGATTTAAAAAAATTTGTCATATCGAGGAATTTGTTTTATTGAGGTTCGTACAAACGAGGTTCAACTGTAGAATGACTGGATTATATACTTTGCCTGTAACATATATATACATTACAAGTATCCAAATGTGACATTGTCCTGTGCACCCCCAAGTTTCAAAGATTACCAAATTTTACGTAGGAGGGCAGCAATGATTAATGTCTGACTTACGACTTACCTCAAATATTTCCATAAACATGACATTTACTTTATTTCATAACATAAGATTTAACAAATACTTTGGTTTGCTACTACAGGGAAGGTAAAAAGTTTGTTTTGACCAAATGTAATTAGTTTAGGATGAAATGAATAAAATTGGCAAAATTGATCAACATTTCGATAAGCGAACATAGAAACCTTAATGTACAGTTTTTTTTTTTTTTCTCTGTAATCTTAAATTGAGGGATTTAACACGATTATAGAATATGATGGTTAAATAAAGACTACAAGGATACAGGATATTTTCAGGATAGTTTCTCCTGAAACTTAAGTTTTACTTGCAATATTTCCTGTAACAACATAAACCTACCACCCCAAACAGTAAACCTTGTAGAAAATTATCATTTGTGTGGCTGAGACAAAAATACAAGTGGGTGGTAATTTTTAATAATTTAAAACCGACAAACAATTTCCAATAAAACAAAACAAACAAAAACTGAACTGATTGTGACCAACACATCACTAATATTGTATTAGAAGATGTGTTAGGCCTACAACATAAAATGTAAAAAATACTTTAAAACTATATTTTTATTAACAAAATATATAGTTCTTTTAAGTAGATTGCATACCTCCTATGAGTAACTTTTTAGAAGGTACATGTTATAGTGGCGTTTACAGGTACAGTAATAGTATTGATGATTCAATAGAAGTCAATGTAGCCTACATACATACTAACTTTTGTGTATAGCCTAACTTGACACAAAAAATTCAAAAGCTTTTGTTGGGAGTTTATTCCTCTATAAATAACAGATATATTTGACAATTTCAAAGAAAAAGAATAAATCCACAACTGTTTATTAGATTATATTTATGATGGTTTAACACCAGGGTGTGTTTTTAACGAACAAAGAAGCATGGGTGTTAAAAGGCTTTGTTACAAGATCCGCTACTTTTGACCAGGCACATTTAAATTTTAAAGCCCGCATCAAATCTCTGATCCTACAGTTATTTAGGTCGATTACAGTCTCAATTGATTGAAGTGTTTAATATTGTTTGGAATTGTAAAATAAATTACTGTAGTCATAAACTAAAGTAAAATAGGAAAATCCAAAATCGTCTACAATTTGACTGTCACATTTTCATCACATGACGTATCCAGTATGTCTCTAGTAGCTAACATTCAGCAATTGTACTGTTTAACATTAGATATTTATCTGTTATGTACATAATGATTGAATCACAGAAAGCTGAGCTGAACCAGTGCATGTTTTAAGACTCACATTGGACTCTCTCAATACTTACATCTTCTACAGGTGTCTCTACCTCGGCCACTTGCTCTGTAGTAGCTTGTGAACTTCCCTCTTGCACGATGGAGACAGAACTTCCTTCTTGCATGATGGAGACAGAACTTCCTTCTTGCACGATGGAGACAGTCACATCATTAACATCATCTTCTTTGCCAAAGGTTTCTCCTTCTTCTGCATCAGAGTCTTTCTCCACCTTTATTTCTGTTACGAACGCTTTTTCTATAACTACATCATCTTCAATATCCCCTTGTTCCGCAGCTTCAACATCCTTGCCTTGTTCTTCATTTGGTACTCCACCCGGAGGCTCTACAGGTAATCCTAGTTTCTTCTTTTTCTCACGCTCAGCTTTTTCAACATCAGCCCAAACAGTTCTCACTTGGCGGAAAAGCTGTAAAAGTTAAGAAAATATTAATACTTTTGTTGGGTATACATTTATGTTTTTATTAGGGATGGACGAGATTGGATTTTTAGTTCGAGACGAGACGAGACGAGATTTTTTATTTCTCATAAAATTTCGAGACGAGATCGAGACGGGATTTCCCTTCTCATACACAACGAGAAATGCACGTTCAAAATTTTTACCTGATTTTGTAACATTGTTAGATGACTGTTTAAATACAAAAATAATGATAATAGGCAAGAATATTTACAATCTTTTATTAAAAAACATCAGCATAACATTTTTTTTATTAATCACGCCTAACTTATTAAAAATGCCTACGATTAGGAAACATAGTGATATCAGTTAGGATAGAGTTCAACTTATCCTAAAATAAAATAAATCATAAAATAAAAGCAATATTAATTTTTATAAAATAGTTACTTGTTTTGACTTTTTATAGTAATAAAACATTTCTCACACTGCTTACACTTTACAAAAATTCTCAAATGTTATTAAAGTAATATTATTAAAATAATTAAAGTAATATTTACATTTAAAGAATTAATGAAATAAGAACGCCTTCACAAAGGAAACGCAACTACAACACGCTCCTGTATTGCGGGTATTGCATTGACTTTCTGCAGGCGTTTTTAATTTTTTTTTTTTCTTTTTTTTATTCCCGTCTCGGTAAAAATCTCGGCCAAATAGAAATCTCGTCTCGTGTAACGAGATTTAAAATTTCCCGAAAATTTCCCGAAATTTCGAGACTTGACCATCCCTAGTTTTTATGATAAGTTTAGTAATCAGGGTTGTCAGCAGGATCTAAGAACGAAATTCACACATTTTTCCCGGTTTTCCCGGCTAAAAAGTACGGAATTCCCGGCGTCTATTATACTTATAAGAACGGCACAACACAAGTTACACCTATCAGTAAATTAAAAAAAAAAAACAAGCCAAATTGCCCAAGGGACTACATAAGCCCCGACCGATGAAACGGTGAACACTTCGTGACACATAATTAATTAGTGACGCACTGATGGTCGGGCGGGTAAGGGGTAGCGCGGTGGGTCATTATGGGTGCCATTTTGATAACATCCACTCATAATACTATATTTGGCTAATAATTTGTTCAGAATTATCAGAGGTTATAAACTCTATTACCTTAAACATTAATTGATCAAGCTAGTACAGTAGGCTAGACTAGTCATTTGATCAGTTTCAAACTCAAATAAAGGCCACTCTTCTTACTTGTGTGTAATAATTGTTTAATAATGCTTATAAAAGGTTACTATAAGGTTGTATTACAGAGACATACGTCACTGCCACAAAAACTATTCTCTAATGTGAATGAATGAACTGAGTGTTTATTTAGTGTGAAGCCCCGCCCACCGTCTAACGGGACATGGGGTAGGAAAAGAGAAAGTTTGCTCTAAAGCCTGGTTCACATGCCCTCCCTTACCCTTGGCGTCAGTCGCTTGCAGATTTCCATTACACAAACGTTTCTGAGTGTTAATTATTTTAAACCACTGCAAATGTTTGAATTTGACTGTGATGAGGTCTAATAAAGTTTCCTCTAATTTATAAATAGGCTTAGGCCTACAAGTATTAATCTAAGTCATTTGACAGTTTTTGTATTTATTTTTAAAAGCAATTGCAGTTATACTTTTAAAAAACTACATACATCTTGACCTATAAATACTTTTTGTAAGGAGAGTCTTTTCTCTATAAGAAGTAAAAACGATCGTGGTCAAGGAATGACTGTGTTAAAACGGCACACTGTTAAATTTTACGAAAGTATTTTGACTGAAACCTGGTATTTTTTAAAGAGTTGTAGATTAAGTCGACGACGGTGGAGTAAAGTATGGCAATAGATAAGTTTTACTTTTAGCCTACAATAAAGATTATGTTTAGGGACTATAGAATCTCCAAAAGAGTGCTTTTATAAAACATGCCATAGTTGTATTTACAGGGTTGCCACCATAGTGGGATGACAAAATTCATGCAGAATTCATGGTTTTCATTGGCAGTTTGAAAAAATTCATAGTCAATGCGCTCACACAGGTTGTGGAAAAAAAACGATCTATTTTATGTAGCGCACTGTTCAGCAACATCGTCTGAGAGTGGTGGGATTAGGCTAGTTGAAAAGCCTACACCATAGATGAAGTGATGCCATTATCTGTGTTCATGCAGTGGTCACCTGAGCATCGTGCGTTTGTTATCACAGTCAAATTTAAAAAGTTATTATTCAGTCATTGCAACTCAGCGGCAGTTTGGTGCATTTTTTAAATTAGGGCGACGTTGATTCCGTCAAGTGGCACAATCATGTGGTGGAAACCAACTTTAGAACAATGGCATCTGCGTTTAAAAAGAAGCTGACAAGCCGTCCAAAGTCAGATCGGACGTCAGACAACTAACATTCGATAGAATACGTGCTGATGTGGTAAACAGTCCTCGTATGCCCGCTTGAAAACAAACATCTACTTTAAACATATCTGACCGCTCGGTTACACTAATTTTGAGGTTCGATCTTAATTCTTATCCCTACAGATTAATGTCTATTAATCTGTTCAATTTTGTTGATTAACCATACAGACAACATATATTTCACCGGAACCTCTTCATGTCGACCTAATTCAAAGAATGCATGGAAATGCCGCTGAGTTGAAATGACTGAATAATTACTTTTTAAAACGGCTCGATAACAAACACGTGTTGCTCAGGTGACCACTGCTTTATGAATACATATAACGTATAGGCTTTCTAACGAGCCTACCCCCACCACCCTCAGACGACCTGTCGATGAACAGTGTGCTGCAAAAAACAGATTTCTTTTGTCGCATTCTGTATAATTTTAACACAATTGAGTTTTGCTGATTTTATTGTTTTATTATGTGGCCAGTTTCAATTCCGTGTATGGTCTAAAACTTCTGTTTTTGTGGTTTAAGTCCCCATACCCCTTTAAACATACACGGGGGTAGCCCACCTAATGATCTTTTCAAACCATATACAGTCCTCGGGAAGGGTCAGCTGACATCAGCATCTAACCTACAAGAATTTGAATGAACTAAGCAATTGTTTCTGAACGTGGAAAATTCCCAGATGGTATTCTCTCTTGGTGTTCGTTTTTCTGAACTGTTTTTAAATATGAAATATTTTATATTTGGCAAATTTAATGGTACTGGTAGAATAATTTTTCCTGATTTTGAAAATTCATGGTCCAATAGACAGGAATTCATGCATAATCCATGCCTTTTTTCATAGTCACAAGAATTCATGCATAATTCAAGCTTTTCAAGGTTTTCATGGCTGGTGGCAACCCTGATTTAGTAACAAAAGTGTTTGACTATGTTCCCGATGATACCAAGAGTATAGGTTCGGCAGAGTGGATTCACTGTGAACCGGCCTGCCTGGCCCTTATGCACGACGTCACTATAACTTCCGTGTAGGGGTGTCAAAAATGGATCGTAACAATCGATGTTTTGAACCTGTCTGTAACTAACCTAGTTTTTTTATACTTAAATACTCATTATGCATAAACGAACACGTACTACATATCGGATCTCGAAATCACAATAAATTATCGATACCCTTCCCACCCACAATAAGCAAAGCACATAAAACGATGTCTAGCAATCGTCATTTGCTCCATTGAAACACGAAAGTCGATTGGCTGACATGGTAGTGCATTGTCGCCTCCTGACCAATGAGAACTGTTGTTACATACTTTTATTGTCAACATTCACCATTCGTTATAACATTACAAAATCTACATGGACTAAGGCTTATGATATTTTTCAATAAATGCATTGTGTCATAATAGCACTTAAAACTTCACTAAACTCTTTAATCAGGTAGATAGTACAGATAAATAAATATGGACCTACTTTTTGGCGCAATATAAAGCAAGCCTAACCATACGACGATGACGATGTTTAAGTTTAATGGTTGAATATTGCAGGGAGGAAACTGAACATTTCGACGTGTTTAGGTTATTTATTTTGTACTAAAAATAAAAATAATACATCTAAATGTCTGACTTATTGATACAGACATTGTTTAGTATAATTAATTTCGTGTTGGCAGGACATTCGCGCGCTGGTTGTCTCATGAGTTGAGTCTGACATCTTGAAACGTAGATTGTGTTGTGCAATGAGCTGAAGCTAAACAATGTCACCGGCACCGTCGCTGTTTTGAACTAGATAGTTTCTATGTTGGCTATGAAAATTGTTAACCGTGATTACAAAACTAATCGTGATTACAAAACTAATCGTGATTACAAAACTAATACTGTAGCTATAAAGTTAATAAATGGTAAAAAAATATTTATCCCTGTCGGGTGTCCGGTGTTATTGGAATCGACTTTTGACAATCGAGTCTTGGTACCGAACCGATACCAATGTCCAAGTGGTAACCAATGGATGGTGGTATCGATGACGATAATCGATACATCCTTTTTTAGAATCGAATTGAAATTTCAATACATCGCACTCGCTGCACACCACTACCTATCACTATCACCATCACCCAGTGTCAGCTGTCGCTGTCAGTGAAATGGATGACGCAAGCGATGCCTAGGTTGCCGATTATTATTAGGCCTAGTATGTCAATATTGAAAGGGGTTAAGGGATTAAATAAAACTCAAACATTTTCCTTTCTTATTATTTACTTGTCAAACATCAACAAAATCGGCTTAACCTCTACTACTCGACTCGAGTTGCGAGTATATTTAACTAAGTGCTTCCGGCGACCGGCGGCGTCGGCTTCCCGCGTAGGCCTATTCATGGTGGTAGGTAGTGTACATCCAACTTACCTTCTGGTTCTTCCGAACCATCGCCACTCGCCAGTAAACCGTAAATTTTGGTTTACTATAAAATCAATCAAGAAAGTATTGCAAAACGGTTTATAACTATTAAAATTACTTGAAAAAAAAAACTGTATTAACGATATCAATTAAATTCACGGAATAATACGATTTTCACGCATATTTCCCGGTTTTTTCACGGCTGTTAAAATTCACGCATAATTCCCGATTTTCCCGGAATTCCCGGCCGCTGACAACCCTGCAGGTATGTTTTTGTCTCCTTCAGCTAATTAATCTAGACATTCTAGCTAAACAGATTTTAAGTTAGCAAGAATCAAAGGTCCTAGTTAATAATAATCATTAACTAGGATTGTTTTTATAGCAGTGAAAGCCAGTTGAGCGGAGCAATCATGTTTCATGGTTTTTAATAGAGCAATAAATGAAAACATGTTTATAGATATTATACAAAATACAAATGTTCCCACACTCTGCACTGCTAGCCTTTACTACTTCCTTCACCAACTCCTACGTAGTGGACCTGTTTCCCTCTCTTCCTAGAGCATTTTAAGATTGCAGATAAATTAATCTAACTGCCACAGACGGTTCCCACACACCGCACTGCTGGCCTTTACTACTTCCTTCATCGCTTCCTATGTCGTGGACCTGTTTCTCTCCCTTCCCATAGCATTTTAGTATTTTAGACACGTTAATATAACTGCCCCAAATCGTTCCCACACTCTGCACTGCTAGCCTTTACTACTTCCTTCACCACTTCCTACGTCGTGGACCTGTTTCCCTTCCTTCCCATAGCATTATAGTATTGCAGATACATTAATGTAACTGCCACAAACAGTTCACACACTGCACAGCTAGCCCTCACTACTTCCTTCACCACTTTCTACGTCTTGGAAATGTTTCCCTCCCTTCCCATAGCACTTTAGGATTGCAGATACATTAATCTAATTGCCACAAACGTTTCCCACACTCCGCACTTCTCGCCTTTACTACTTCCTTCATCACTTCCTACGTCGAGGACCTGTTTAAGTTTGCCATTTATGAGATGAATTAATGAATGTGATTCACCGACAAATTGTTTGTTTAAGATAAAATGTTACAGTATTTTTTATAATCTTATTTAGCTACTTAAATCAAATCTGTTAAATACTGTACCTAAGAAAGTATGTTTTATCTATGACTGTACCAATTTGATCAGTGGTCTTTACCAAAATGTGACTTAAAATGTAAACCTAAGACTTTCTCTGTATTATTTTATCAGTGGTCATCATCCAAATTTTTTCCCTTTGTACTGTGTTTAGGTCGTGGCTTGATTTGAACATATGCTATGATTCTTTATTTTGTTTACATTTACATCGTTATTTTGTAACCATCATGGAAACTCATAAAGCCAATGTAAAAAATTAAAAACTTTGAGTTACTTTAAAATTATATAGGCATTATCAAACATTGAAATTGGTTACGTCCAAACCATCTAAACATTTGACAAAACAACTTTGGTATGTTTGGCTAAAATATTTTCAACCGTTATTGAGATTAAGTGTTATAAAGATTGCATTGAAGTTGATCCCAAAGAGCTTCGCTTAGCTCCGCTCAATAATCATTCCGAAATATTGCCGCCACAATTTATTACAAATGAATTAGTTTTTTTTTTTTTTTTTTTTTTGCAGCTCTTCAAAACTAGTACATATTTAACCACAGTACCTATAGATAGTTCTTAATTCATAATGAACTATTTAACAATGTTGCCAAAACAAAAGAATTAATAGCATTGAGTAACTGTATGGAATTAACCCATTTGGGAAGTGAAAAGCCAGAGTCTCTGTGAATTAAAGACTAGACTATTTATGTTTTTAGGTTAACTACAAGAAAACACTATATAGTAATCCAATGTATCAATACTTGTCAAAAACGTCAATACTATCTAAAAACTTCAATGTTTCGTAAACATGAGTAATGGATGTTTATCGTTACAACAGTAGTTATCACTACAGTAGTTTGAGTTTTAAGATTCAAAACCTTTCAGATTCAACAAAGAACGTTTAATATTTTTAATTATCAATCCGCTTACAGGTGTTCGATTCACACATAATTAACTTATTGACAAAATATTTTATTCCGCTGTTAATTTTTTTTCTAAATTATGTTCTTTCATATCTTTTACCATTTGAATGTTTTTCACGAATCGTCCGTTTTTAACCGAAATAAAAGCCAAAGAATAAAAATCTGTCTCCTACTTCTCGATGCTAGAGTAAAAAGAGGCAAAAAGTGTTAGGCCTGTGTGCAATCATTATTACACTCACTAACACTGTCAACTTCCACCCAAGCCAGACACTGTTTATACTTAACAGAAACCCCTCCACTCCAGCTAAGCCACACATTAGTAAGCTCCACTGCACATGTACAAGACTCGATAAAACGCATGTAGAAATACTTCAACACTAAACTCATCGGAGCAACGCCTTGGCCAACTAGGGTACCATGGCACAGTCGGCCGAATGGGTCGATTGTCCACTAAACGACATGACGACTCTAGTGCCCGCAGAACTAATTGAGCCCTAGTGGGTTTGCAGTGCGGATTTATCGCCATGAAATGCGGTAACGGAACACATGTGAGTCGTAGTCATTGGGCTAAAGTTTAACACCTGAACATAGATGGATTAGTCGGTAATGATCAATGAATGTGTTTACATGTTTCCTAACATAAGTCAAATTGGTTGGTTCAAATTAATAAAACCGAACAAAGTTTAGTTCGATATTAACATCAACTTAGGCCTACATCTAGCTCAGGTATGCAAAGAAATATAACAGTTAGCAAAAAACGAGTTAAATAACTTGTTTTCCTTTACCTTGCTCAGCCATTCCTCATCAGCCAATAGCTCATTGAGGATAACTGTTGTATCCTTTCCTGAATCAGTCTTGCGTTTCTCCTGAACTCTCTTAACACAATCTATATACATGATGTACTTCTGATGTACAAGCTTGTTGTACAGTTGCACAAACTTGATGCACTCCAGGCATATCATGAAATCCTGTACAAAACAATAATTTACTTGACAACAAAGTCAACTTGTTAAGTTAAATTATCTGGGTTTTAGCCCCATAAAAGTTTTAACAAGCAACAGAAAAATGGTAAGAGAATCCATTATGATCTCAAGATGTTGTAATTCTGACTTAAAAAAACAGAGAAAAGTATTGATTAATACTAGTAGGCCTGTATGTATAAGTATTTGTATTGATCAAAATTAAACAAATATAGACGTAGCCTAATGAGAATTAATTTTTACCGTAAGTTCTGATTTGGGTTATAAAGTTTTACTTGGATTCCCGATTTTGAACTTGACTTTAAGGTGTGGGATTAGAGATTCAAAATTTCTGGGTTTCAACATTACTTTAGTGCTGCACTTGTATTTAAGACATCAGATAAACCCACCGATCGCCCTAAGGGTACAGACTTTGCCAGTTTTACATTCGTATAAGATTGAAGCAAATCTGAATTTTATTAAATCATTCCCAATAGTATCAAAGAGTGAGAAAAAAACTTTGTTCTTTTCCCTACAATTTGACGTTTAAATCGTTTAATTATCTTGAATAGTCCCCGAGCAACGACTGTTTAAAATCCCGGCATTCTTTTATAAACACCCTGTACTATGAACTTTTTTTATTGAACTCGTTACAGCATCCAAAGTAACCAGTAGGCCTATTTTTTCATCTAGTAACTGACCTTCTCATTCCTGTTGTTCTCCACCTCGCATCCGTCCAGAGTGTTGGGGTTGTAGGGTTGGCCGTACAGTATGATCCTAGCATGCACCATGTTGCGTTCGCAGGCATCACACACTGGTACCGGTCCTGCCTTGAGATCAGCCAACACGTTGTAACACGGCCATGTCGTGACACTACGCTGCAACGCTGACTCTACCGGCCAGCCCACCGCAGCCACCAGCCGTACACGTCGCTCCTCCGTCAACCTGTCTATCACCTCCACGTTCTGAAGGAAGTACTCGTCTGTGACAAACACACCGGGATGTTATTTGAAGAGTGAAGATGGGTGTTCAAGTAGAATAGTTATAGTTAAATAGAATAAATTAAATTATCCTGGTAGATTCCTTGTGGCTGATAAGCTGGTTATCCAGGAACAATAGATATGTAGAATCAATTTCAGACCATCAGGCCTACCTAAGAACGGTCTTCAAGATCAGCCTGACACCTTTCTCATTACTAGACTTTGCTTGGTACAATAGCAGGGTTGGTACTAAATTTGGAAAATAAAATTCCCTGACTTTTCCAAATGAACAAAATTCCCTGACTTTTCCAGGTTTTCCCTGACCGTACCAACCTTGTGGATGTCTTATGGATCTGTCTCGTCTGGTCTCTTGCTTGAACGAATCAATGGATTCAACAAATAAAAATGTATAACCCAATGTTTTCCCAAAAGTTTTCTTAAGCTCGATTACATTCGCAATACACCAAGCATTTTGCATCATAAGACATTCTTTGTCAAATTGAATGTCTGCCAAATCACTCCGGATGAGTGAAAGAGAAGTATTTTGAACTGGAAACTTCTAAACAAACAGTGAGCACTTAAACCGCTCAGCTAAATAGTGAGTACCCTACTTTGACTTAAATTGAGTTTATCACCAAATTACTTTACTTTGACCGTGTGCAAAATATACAAAAAACCAAGAACTTGGCTAACTTACCTTTCTCAGCAAATATTTCAGCCAGGAAGTTAGCATCCAGTGCTTGAGAAATAAGAGTTTGAATGTAGACCTCAAAATTGTCCTGATACTTGGCTGTTTGCAGAAGAGAATGTTCCAAGTAAGCCCTGCAATGATCAATAAATACCATGAATGACAGTTCAATCCTATATGAAACACTATATGTGTGTGTTGATAGAAATACTGAGGACTTATATTTGTTATCAAGTCACTGAAGCTTGTAATATTTCATTTCATTTCATTCATTATTTAGTATTAAATTTTTTTATGTTAACTTCTATTCATACACCTAATAATCACTCCTCAGAAAGACTGTCCTAATATTCATTTTCCTAATCTATATAATTTCATTAATATGTTCAATTAATCATTAATAATATTCATTCATAGCCTATATTTTTTTTTACAAAGCCCACAACCTAATTATTTATTAAATATGTAAGAGAATTGCAATACATCAAAATTTCTTATAATATCATTTCAAAATTAGTCCTTAAGGAATCAAAATTTAAGAAGCAGTGAAAGTGATCCCATGTGTTCAACAATCAGTGATGTGAACAGTGAGTTTGAAAGAGAAGGAAGCCATTGAGAAGTTGAAATTATTAGAAGAAGGACTCAACATTTTTACCTAAGTTAAATCAAATTCATTTATCAAGAATCAAGTTCATTTCAAGTTTCAAGTTATATCATATAGTAGCCTAAACCTCAAGAGGACTCAACTCAATCATTATCTTCAAAATTAAGTATAACCTTTTCTTTAAACTCTTTTAAATTTTATACTAATTGGACTTACCTTTTGGACAACACCAAAATTAGATTTTCCATTGTTGAGATTGTGTAAATTTAACACTTTAATTAGGCCTATTTGGACGCTATTAAATTTATTAATTATCAGCATTCAAGCCAGCACGACACCCTACCCTGAGAGATGTCACATCTAAATTATTTGAACCTTTAAGTTATTATTCAAATTTATTTTTATTTCAATTTAATTTCAACCCCATACACCATTGTCAATCCTTTCATTGTAACGTCAAGCCTTTTCTCATTGCATGTTAATTGTTCATTTGTTTAAATAAAACCCATTTTGTAATCCATATCTTTATTAACTTATTAACTTTAAACATTTGTAGAATAGGCCTAGCCTAAAATGAATATTTTAAGGTGAGTTTACAAATTGGCGCACCAACGTGTTGGCTTGAATAGCTCATTAACTTTATTGCAATTCTCACCATAACTAGCCTATAAGTTTGTTAGATTTAAGAGTTTGCATTGTTAATTTGTCCCGTAATTGCCCCTGTTTCCCAAAATAATCAACACAACAACATCGCATATTTAATAACCACGCATGACCTAACACATTTCACATTAAAATGTCGGAAAATAAGTATAATTTAAGGCCTAAACGAAACTACGCGTCTCTGGATAGATTGTCGAGTTCTTCAGACGACGACGACATAAATGACAGAACACACGGCAGCCATTTTGAGCAACAAGCAGAACAACAACAAACCCGAGAAGAAGCCTCAAATTTCAACGACTACCAACCGTTCACCGGATCCATTGACCAATCAGACAGCGTTGATCATTCGACTTTAACCGGTTTTGTTCCGCCACCCAAACTGCCTCTTCTAGCCGAAACGCCACCGACCAAAAACACAGTGCCGTCGTGCCGAATGCAGCCGGACTTAAACGACGTTTCCCGAACCTCGACAAATGTGATATACGATATTGCAGACAGCCGTCGAACAGCTGATATCACTCAAACACAGTCTCAGTCCGTTCATAATGTGAATCACGAGCTCCTTATTCATTCCGACACTTCAACTAGTTCAACTGATGAATTAAACGTCACAAATCCTCCAGTACAGACACCCACAATCGATATGAACATGTTAGTTAACCTTATGACCAACTTGAGTAATAAGTTTGAACAAACCAGTGCTGAATTAAAGTCAGAAATAACTGCAGAATTAAAGTCAGAAATCCGTGAAACTAAAAACGAAATCCGTGAAACTAAATCAGAAATCCAAGAAATAACAAAACTGCAGATTAATCAAACTGAAGCTAAACTAATTCAAACCTTTAACAATAAAATAAACGAAACCTACCAAGAAATCCAAGCTTGTAGAAACGCATTTGAATCACAAATACGTGAAACTAGAGAAAGTCAAATTGAAATAAAATCAGAAATAAATGCCATAAAATTAACACAAAGTATTTTAACTGAAGAAACAGCTAAACTAAATGATCGGCTAATGTTAAAAATTGAAGACTCTCAAAATCAGTTGAAGCAATTTGTTGTTAATAGCATATCAAAACAACAATCTAATTCAGAAATAGAGCATAACAAATTCCAAGAACAAATAATCTCAACAGTAAAATCACAGTTAGAAGAACATAAATCTAATTTTGAGCAGAAAATAGAAGAAATCACAGTTAAAACACAACTTGACAATGAACGTAACTCAAAAATAAATTTAACTGCCCTACAAAATGAAGTATTGCCTAAAATCACCCTACAAACTAGATTAATTGAAACACAACAGCTCGAAATTCAAACTCTCAACCAAAATTTAATCAAATGTGAGTCTGAAGTAAACAACTTAAAGCAAGCTAACCCAATAAATGGACAAGCAGGTGCGATTCAAGTAATCTGTAGCGGTAATGAGAACAATGATCGTCAATTGCCGAAATTTAATGGACGAAGCGGTAACCCAATGGAATATCTGCGCAAACTTAAACGATATTACGAGAGAGGGATCGAAAGGAATATGAACTGCGATCAAACCGAATACCTTAAAGACCTATTGGAAACGTCATTTGAAGGACCCGCATCCCGATGGTTACAACTAATCAGATCAGACATTCTTGATTGGGACCATTTTGTTAAGGAATTTGAGTGCAAATATTGGAGTCAAGCCGTCCAAAGAGGAATAAAAGCCAAGATTGAGTCTGAAAAATATCGAGCTAATGGAACCTTGAGCCGTACGGAATATTTAACAGAACGAGTACTTTTATTGCAATCCATCTCCCCTAGTTTAAGTGAAGAGGAGATCGTATCATTATTGGCAGAGCGATTCGATCCAATCATCCAGGACAGTGTTAATGTGCAAAATATCACCACTATAAGAGCCATGGAACGACTTCTACAGAAGGATGACATTCGAGACGGACCGAAGAAAGTTAAGAGCTACAACAACAGTCACCAGAACAGCAGACCGTCTAGCCCTAACATACAGAACCAGCAACGTTACCATGATCGATCTACTAACCAACAAGCTTACGTGCCTAAGATGAACCGCCAGAACTACCAACACAGCGATAACCATGCACAGAACAACCAACGTCATTGGAATCAACAAAATTACCAATACAACGGAAACAATGGTAATGAGTACCAACAGTACCAACGGGCACACCGAGACAACAAACCATACCAGCGTGACCACTACCCGGACCGGAACTATGGCCAAAACTACAATTATAATCGGAATCATCCTACTAAGGAACAAAACCAAATATGTGCGATGTTTAGACAAAATCCCAACTTGTCTATTGCCCCGACTGCTCCACCCATGGATCCACAATTAAACAGCCACCATTCAAGTTCTCGTTTTCCACAATCTCCACAGAGGTCGGAAAACCACTCGTCGATGTAGGCTACGGCCGAGAAAGAGTTATGTTGCCATCTGATCCTTGTCGAAATACTTAATTATGTGATAAAAACAACTTTCTCTTAGAAGATGAATAATAAGATATTTAATAGTTTCAAACTTAATGAAGCCAGTCATCCTTGGAGTCTATGTACTATCCGCCCTTAAAATGGATTTGAATGTTAATACGAATGAAATAAATATGCAAATCAACAATAATAATGTTACAGTGAAGTTTAATTTGTGTCATCATGAAGGACAAATATGTCAAATAGTAGTTAATAATAATAGCCATAGGCCAAATAATAATATAAATGATAATTTTGATAATATGATGTACGATAAGTACCATAATAATATAATATATAATGAGTATGATAGCACAAGAAACAACTTCAGTGGTCAACAAAGAAATCCACTAAAGGACAGCACACTGACATTTGAGGAGATTAATACATACCGCCAAACACATCAAACTATTAAATAAAATGCAAAAACGTTTTCTCTGAAGAATGAAGATATCTTATTCAGACCTTATCACATATCTGCTTCAAAATGATCATAGAAGAGGAGATGGTAAATGGTGAAGAAGATCTCGGTAACATAAACTCTCAAAACATTGTGTAAATAAAATCCTATAATCAATTCATTATCATCAAGTGTATTAATTATATTTAGAGGAGATCGTCATGAACCTTAATCGCGAGTGCGTGTACCCTTTTCCCCATTTCCCAAGTGAAAACTGTGAAAAACATATCCTTAACATTGCTTCTATTGCTATTCCCCTGTGTCAGGTCATGAACTATCTTAACCCTCACTAATTTCCCCAGTTATGTTTGTTCCTGTGTTTATGTAAATTTATATTAAGAAGTTTCTAATCATCATCATCCAAAAATATCAATCATTTAATGTGACCCATAACTAGCTTTAAATATAATTCATACTAAATGATTCATGAATTCCATTTCATATTAGTTCGAAATTTGTCCTTCATTCCATATCATACAAATTTCTGAGGAGATAAATTGTAATATTTCATTTCATTTCATTCATTATTTAGTATTAATTTTTTTTATGTTAACTTCTATTCATACACCTAATAATCACTCCTCAGAAAGACTGTCCTAATATTCATTTTCCTAATCTATATAATTTCATTAATATGTTCAATTAATCATTAATAATATTCATTCATAGCCTATATTTTTTTTTACAAAGCCCACAACCTAATTATTTATTAAATATGTAAGAGAATTGCAATACATCAAAATTTCTTATAATATCATTTCAAAATTAGTCCTTAAGGAATCAAAATTTAAGAAGCAGTGAAAGTGATCCCATGTGTTCAACAATCAGTGATGTGAACAGTGAGTTTGAAAGAGAAGGAAGCCATTGAGAAGTTGAAATTATTAGAAGAAGGACTCAACATTTTTACCTAAGTTAAATCAAATTCATTTATCAAGAATCAAGTTCATTTCAAGTTTCAAGTTATATCATATAGTAGCCTAAACCTCAAGAGGACTCAACTCAATCATTATCTTCAAAATTAAGTAAAACCTTTTCTTTAAACTCTTTTAAATTTTATACTAATTGGACTTACCTTTTGGACAACACCAAAATTAGATTTTCCATTGTTGAGATTGTGTAAATTTAACACTTTAATTAGGCCTATTTGGACGCTATTAAATTTATTAATTATCAGCATTCAAGCCAGCACGACACCCTACCCTGAGAGATGTCACATCTAAATTATTTGAACCTTTAAGTTATTATTCAAATTTATTTTTATTTCAATTTAATTTCAACCCCATACACCATTGTCAATCCTTTCATTGTAACGTCAAGCCTTTTCTCATTGCATGTTAATTGTTCATTTGTTTAAATAAAACCCATTTTGTAATCCATATCTTTATTAACTTATTAACTTTAAACATTTGTAGAATAGGCCTAGCCTAAAATGAATATTTTAAGGTGAGTTTACAAGCTAGGTTCAAATAAACCAAAACATTTAAGTAATGGATACACTTATACACAATGGTTGCTTACACATGAGCTGTAGCCTAATAAATTTGAGTGACCAATGTTACAAAATAGAAAATTTTCTTTGGTGTAAGGATTTAAAAGTAACTAAAATAAATTTCTTGTGAATGTGAAGATTACTCACTGTTCGACAGCAGGATCGACCATTTCTGATCTGAGGAATCTGACAATGGTTTCTGAGCGACTTTGCACTATGAACTGCACAGGAACTTTCTGGTAAATGCCCCTGTTCTGAGGAGTCCATCCAGAGTACTGCAAAATAATGTACACTACTGTAACCATACCAATTGTGGAGGGAAAAACACACTATGTAGAAATATGTTCCTTAGAGTTCCTTCTTTAGAAGAGGCTTCTTCAGAAGGGAGAATTAAAAATTATAATTATTACACAGAATCATCCGATTTTATAGGTTTATGATCATAGGGACATGAGGTTAATTTTATATTAAATGATAACTCATAAAAATACCATTTAAATGCTCAATATGACCCTCTTAAGATATTCATCATATAGGCAATACTCAAATTTGTCCCACACCTTAGCTAGCATGTCTTGAGTGAGTGCGGTTCTTCAGTTTAACCAATGTTGTTGGAGGGATATAAACAGTGTCTTTTGAAAACTCCCACACAAACAGTAAGGTCCTTATGATTATTTGAGAGGATAGCAGGCTTACCTGAATGGGAAAGAGTCCAAACTGACATATGATCCTGGCTTGGTTGGCCATCCGTGCCAGTTTGGACTCTTTCCCATTCAGGTAAGCCTGCTATCCACTCAAAAAATCATAAGGACCTTACTGTTTGTGATTTGTTTGTGTGGGAGTTTTTAAAAAACACTGTTTAAATCAGTAGGGTGATTTCGACCATATTTGTTGTAATTTAAAACTATGGACCTAAATTAGTTGTTTTGAGTATTTTATCTTATGCAATAATTTCGTAGGAAGTATCTTGATCAAAAGCCCAGTGGCAAATGACGGCTATCTCCAGAATCAATCACTCTCAGAATTGGCCCGGCAACCTTTGGATTTGAAGGTAAGCACCATCCACTCGATTACCTAGTAAGTTAGGCCTAGCCACTTAATATTTCATGTTAAAACTAACAAGACATGTGTTGAAACTCACAGTAGAAATATTTCGGTAAAGCTTTTCTCCGTTCTGATCGAAGGACTCGTACTTTTGCAGCAGTGTTTTTCCGTCCACTCGCCACAGAGCTGGATATTTTTCTGTCAACTCTTCTTTCACGACAATGAACTCCCCAGACTAAAATGACATTCAAATTGCAGCTAAATCATTATACACATCACTTATATATAAGTAAATCATTAATAATTCAATAAAAAAAACTCAAAAAACTAGTTAAAAAGTTTAATTCTTGTAGCCTATATTTTAATCCACCATGGAATTGGTGTGGGAATGATGAGAAAATTCATGGTAGTAGTTCATCATACCAGCTAATTGTACGGTCCGAGACTTTATAGCCTTACGGGGTGGTTTTAAGCCTTACAGTGCATTCCGCAGACGTCGGAGAACAATCTGCAGAAGTTGGGAGGGAACGGCAAGACTCAACGGATTCTATAACATTTTAATTTATTTTAGAAACAGAATAATGGTGCAACAGTCAACGATTTCCTTTTGGCGCTCTTAACACTTGAAATAACGGCTCTTTTTAGAAGATGTTCAGTTATTCGGTATTTTCAATAATATGGTGCCAACAAAATCTTGAGCGTGCCAAACTAGACAAGTGTGTATTGTATTGTGATTGTGGGCAAACTAAATGGATGCCAATATTTTTCTCTTGATTAAGAGGTACAGTATAGTGGTTTGGATGAACAATTTAAAATGAACGTTAATGACAACATTTTGTTTTATGATAGGAGGGGTTCCTGATTGTGCAATTACTTAACCATCAAAAGAACAAAAACTAAATAAAAATATTGTCGACTTCATTTATGCTAATTGACTTCTGAATAACTGATCAAACACAGTTGTCGGATGCTAAAAAGTAGGTACTGTGAACAACCTAATTTGTCCTTTAGGCCTACTTACCTTAAAAGGGAAGTAATCTTCAGTGCCTAGAGTGGCATCAATTTCTTCCTTCTCCTTGGTTGCCTTAAAAGCTTTCACTGCTCTTCTGGTCTCCCTCTTACGAATTTTTTGGGAACTCTTCAATTTACCTGAAAATATCACAGCTTACACTTTTTCTATTCAAAATGTTAAGGATGAGCAAAGACAACCAACATATGATCTTAAATGTAGATATGTATTGTTTATAAATTTGCAGATATAGGGATCTGAGTGATTGTATTTAGCATTTGGATCAATCTCCCTATCTTTAGTGTTAAGCAATGTTTCCAACTTGCGTTGTTGTTAACTGATTAGTTATATTTCAATCTATTTGTTTTTGATATATTTTAATCCTCTACGAAATATAGGGGAAATCTCAGATCTTTTACTTGTTTAAAAATAAAATGATATCAAACCAGTACTATTTTTTCCAACCATCTTTTTTTGTTACCCGTAATGCATTGTAAAATGTCTACAATAATTAGTTATTTTGATTTGATTTTAGCTTATTTTTCCCTGAAAGTAAACAGCTATTAAGGCCTTGTAATACAACCTATGTTTAAGGCCAGCTTTTAGTTTTTGTTTTAAATTTTCTAGAATCACAAGAAAAAAAAGAAAAACCACTTTATTTGGATTGAAAGTACCTGGCAGTATATCTACCAACATGTGGACCACTATGAACCATCAACAACTGCATTACATGAAAAAGTGTGGTAGGGGAACCAATTCCAACATTACCGTACTACAAACGCGGATAATCATAGTTACATCACAAGAAACCAAATACAAGTTGAAACTAATAAGCATAAAAAATATATATTTTAAGCAAGCACCATCATACATTGTCCGGAATACAATTTTTTAATCAATTACCAATAAAAATAAAATATGAAACAGATGACAACAGATTTTAAAACACTCTAAAATTTAAAATTACATTTGACACAAAATGCTCTTTATGAATTCAAAGATTTGTGAGCTAAGCAATAACAGCATTGAATTAAAATGATTTAGGCCTATTGCTGTTTCACTAAGTATATTTTTGTTTTGTCCTTGAGAGATGCCCATATTATTTTGTTGTTTTGTTTTTGTGTATTATATTTGTCTTTTATTTGTGTTATTTTATGTAATGATCACTTTGACACCATTCTTGCATATACAATACATACTAATGAATAAAGATGTTTTGAATAGAAATTAATAGAATTGATTGCAAATTAACCTGTTTCAAAATAATAGTATAAAGCTCCTCTTGATAGACCCTACAGTAAAAAGTAAGTTTTACCACAAACCCTGGAAGGCTTGCATACCTCTGGCTGGGGCTGATTTGCAGCTGTCGCAACGCCATGTGCCGCGCTTCGAGCCCATCTTCAGCACTCGCTGCATTGTCTGCAGACTAAGACAACTGCAGTGGAACTGATTCTTGCAGCTGGAACATTTTACTGCATCTGTCGGGTCGTCTGCAAAGTTGCTGTTACACACAGGGCAAATACCTGGGGTCCAAAAAGTCTATTAGTAAAGGAATTTATATATATACTGAACTGTAAAATTCTACTTCATACTAGGAGTTTATTTTTTTAAATATTTTTCTGTCTTAAATATGTTTTTTTTTTTTACCGCATACGTAAATAAGGTAAGCAATTTGTTTGTCAGTGCACAGTATTAGTTGATGTGAAAGTTGATGATGAAGCCTATTCATCTAGGTAATATGATCAATGGCAAAAGAAGATTTCTGAGTATGAAGTTCAAAGACAACACTAAGTAACAAGCTACCGCTATAAGCACGTTCTCTCTAAATGCCATTTCTCTGTGGTAAGATAAATACGATATATGTAACTATAAGGTTGGAAATATAACAATAGAAACAAGACCGTTAAATTATCAATAATTAGAAAAACTTTCAGATTTACATTAAGTTACAACTGTCATTTCTCCAAAATGATCTGTCAGCAGTTAACAGTAACTAGTATCAAGACTATATGAAAGTAAAACTATAGTTGGTTGGTGTTACTACCACATACCAGACATGTCGACAACTTCAGCTTTTGGTTTAGACTTCTTTTCTTCATCGGATGACTCCAAAAACCGAGAACCTGACAATGCTTTAGATTTTCTTCGTCTTCCACTTCCAAAAGCTTTGCCATACTCATCTTCGTCATCAGAATCCTAGTGACAAAATCACAATCAGCAACAATAATATTAGTCAAATAGGACGCTAAGCTACTAATTAGTAATTTCCACAAGTAAAATTCTACATCATAAGACGAGATAATTGTAATTGAAGGTTGTTCAGCCAGTCATCTTTGCATTGTGTCAAAGTTATTGTTCCAGGAAGCAGAATATTGAAAGGGTGAGCAGTGAGAGACATGTTTTACTACTGTAAACATAGCCAAAATATGTTACTCCAAAATCATTCTAAAAATAACACAAGACTTGAAAATTGTTACTTGATACTTAACTACTGTTGTTTTAGACTTATAAATTTGATATTTTTCAAAGTTCAACTATATACTAACTGATATCTCCATGTTTCCTATGCCGAAGAGTTATTTTTAATAAGTTAGGCCTCATTATTGTTTTTATACTGATATTTTTATTAATGTTTTTTAATAAAAGATTTTATATCTTTGTCTATTATTATTATTTTTGTATTCAACCAGTCTGTCATAAATCAGTACCTAGGTATTTAAAAATGTTTAAAAAATCTGGTTAAAATGTGGAACGTGCATTTCCTGTTATGTATGAGAAGGGAAACCCCGTCTCGATCTCGTATCAAAATTTTATGAGGAATAGAAAATCTCATCTCGTCTCGAACTAAAAATCCAATCCCGTCCATCCCTACTTCTTGGAGAGGTTATGTTTTCGTTTATATCCTCTCATTACCACTGATAGTTACGCACATTCACTACACCTCTCGTTGTATAATTAATTAAATTGGTCTTTGATATGTTGACATTCAAAGCATTACAATTTTACTTCTTTTCGTTCAGTCCTTGTATCAACTGTAAATGATTTTTTTTTTATAAAGCACTTTCTTTCTTTTTTTCTTTCTTTCTTTCTTGAACCTCATTGGTCCTTTACTGCTTTAAAGTAAAAAAAAAACAACAAAAAAAACAATGTGAATGTGGTAAAGTGAATCTTTTCTATTTTAAGAACTGAGAATTGAAAAAAGCTAGTTTAAAAAAAACGGTTGAAGTCAAATATATTTTGTGCTATTCTGCAAACATTTCCAAACCATAAAAGGATAAATACTCAACTAATTAATCAGCTCCAATCTTACCTCATCTGGACTCCAAGCCTGGTCAGAATCAGAATTGCCTGAGAATAGTTCATCAAGTTTTTCATCGAGACTAGGAGTCTCTTTTGCTTTTCTTCTAGCACTTCTACGCGTAGGTACCGGTAATGGTTCTTGTGACTCTTCTGTAAAAGATAATCAGAAATCAGACTTTTAGGATAAGCTTTGTGTACGATATACTGATCAAGTGTCCCTGTTGCTTGAATTCTAGCAATTGCTAAGAATTACAGGCGTTAAGAAAATACTTTCACAAGCCTTATACTAACTGTAGAATCAAAATTCAAATTCCATCAAATTAAAGGGTCAATTGCATTTCAAGATAAAAATTTATAAAAATATAAATTTATTGGGTTCATTGTAAAAAAAAGTTTAGTTAGTATAATTTTTGTGCCGTTAGGTTTTTTCATTAGAAAGCAACCGCTTACAACATTTTAAATTTACCACTACGTTTAAATCCAATAAGATATGAATGAAATGAGATAGACATTATATGAAATCCGTGCTGGTATTTATAATAGTTCCATATAACTAAGTTATACAACCACATTCTGTTTCAGTAAATTAATGAAAAATGTATGGACATAACCACAGTATACTAAGTGTTAACAGACTCAGAGAATATAGTTCATCTTACCCATAAAATATTTTGTTAAATTTGTGAATATTATCTCATTTTTAAATGTATGTTTGGGTTCGTTTAATTACATTCATAAATTATGTCAACATAATTTTAATTACATTCTTACCTGATGAGCTCCTTTTTCTCTTCCTGGTAAGATGAGATTTCCTTTTGACTTTTGGTACTCTTTTACTAGATTTCTTTTGCTCCTCATTATCGGTTGCCTCTCTAGAAGCATTGTTTGAACTCGTCTTGTGTGCAACAGCTGGTATTAGATTATCATAATCCGTCTCCTCAGAGTCACTTGAGTTTAACTTCCTACTTGATGGATCTTTAGGCAAAGGAAAGTATCTCGGATCATCCACATCTTCTTCTACATCGCTCTGTATTGGCGGAGGTGTTTTGGATTTCTTTCTTGCCTTCTTTAATTGTTGTTTTTCTTGCTGAGGTTTTCTACTCATAGGTACATATCTGAGCCTGGCAGGCTTTTGTCTAGGAGGGGGGGACGATTCCTTCTCACCCTGAATAAATTTTAGGTAACTTTCCATGAAGCTGCTTTTTGGATTTGTATACAGCTTTACTGGAGGAATATTCATGATGGCACTATTTGGTTTTGGATTGGGATTAGGAGTTTCAGCTAAAAACCCTAATTCTTCTTCAACATCGGGAACAATAACTTTTGCAATCGGCGTGTCTTCAACATCAACCTTCGGTAATCTGTCATTGATGTTGTATTGGTTAGGATTCGTTGCAGAAGATTTACTTTGTAAGTTAGGGTTAATGTTCTTTTGATCTTGCGATTTGGGCATTTTATGAGAAGTAAGATAAGATATCTGGCCTCTAGAATGTGAGACATCGTGAGGGTGAAATGGCGCATTTGTGGGTTTTGAATCAGGATGTGGAGTGTTTTGAGGTGTAAATGTGGAGTTTTCTGGTTTCTGAGAGTTATGTTCCACGCCACCACTATTCTGTTGCGGTTGATTTAAATGAGCAGGAGGAGGAACTCTATTTGAAGGATCTGGTTGAGCAACTAGTATTTTACTATCAGTGCTCTTTTTCCTTTTTGATGGTGAGCCACAGTTTTTGATGGCAGGATTTGGGTTTTCAAATTCTACTTTAATATCTGTAGTGACTGGAGGGGGTTGACAATGCTGTTGTAGATTTTGCAAGTTTTTAACAATAGTCATGGGATCTCCCTTGATACTTTGATTGCCAGAGGCTAAATATTCTTGGTGCCTGTCTGTTACCATGTGAGATGTTCGTTGGTGCTGGATTGAAATATTACTGGGATTTGGAGAGACATCCGATGAATAATTAGAATAATTTTGACTTCTGAGTTGTTCAGTCCCATCCCAACACTGTTTTGGGGGAAACGTATCATTAGCATATTTTGGATCACCTCTTGTTATAACCGAGGGATGCCTGGATAAAGAAGCGTCTAAAGGTGACGTAGGGTTGAATTGAGGAGAAGGGTTTTGTCTGTAGCTTACATTTTGGTCAACGTGTTGCTGAACAGGTGAAGGGGAGGACATAGAAGTCATTGGACTGTGATACGCTGGATAACCGGTAGGACTAGTGACATGAGAGTCTAATGGACTCCTTTGTAAAGACGCATCAACACCACCGTGGCCTACACTAGACCCTGATGAATATCCAGCATCAGTAGAAGCAGTGTTCCTTCCCGCAGAGACTTGGGTGTATTCCGACTCAGGAGTTGACCCTCTGTACGCTCCAGTCTTCTGATGGTTCAACAATTGCTGTTGTAGTTGTGACTGCTGAGGAATACCTGACCTCGCCGGAGGTATTTTTGATGAAGATCTGTTTTGATTAGAGTCCATTACAGCAAAACTGATGGGAGAGGACTGTGTAGATTCATGCCCACTATCTCTCCTCTCAGTTATTTTGTTTGGCACAGAAGAGTTGCTCTTTGTCGTGGGGGACTGGAATTCACTTGACTGATTTTCTGATATTCTCGGTGGAAACGCTGCTACTGAAGCGTGTATATGGGACAGTGACGCATTGTAATCTTTAGACATATTAGCTGATGGCACCATCACATTTGGAACTTGAGTTTTGCTAGCAATATATTGGTTTCCAGAAATCGGAGAAGCCTGCTGATAGTATCCAGAACTTGTAACATTAGGGGTGATCGGTTTTGACGGAGGAGATTGCATTGGCCTTGTAGTGAGCCTTTTAGAAGTATCACTGTAACTCACAGCAGCTAGCTGCGAATTAATATGATTTAATGTCTGGGCTGCAGCAAAGTGAGCTGGATTAAAGTTCGAGCCCGTACTACTACCAACCACACTTTCATGTGGTAAAACTCCAAAAGGACTCGGCAATTGTGAATGAGAGTTACTCTGATGTGACCAAGCGATCGTAGTAGGTTGAACAGAACCAGAAGCTTGCTCAAAGAAAGCTGGATTTGGAGGGGGCAAAGGTTGAGGGTGAACAGGAGTGTAACTTTCCCTTAGGGAATCATTGTCTGCTGAAACTTGTTTTGTAGAGGCAATCACTTGTCTATGCTGAGCCACTGTTAATGCCTGAGGGTAATGAGCTTTCTGGTTGGCATGTAAGAAAGGGGAAAAGACAGGGTCATAACCCACTGGTGGGGGGGAGAGAAAACTGCTGGGAGTAAACGCTGGGGAGGAGGTTGGGTGAGCAGCTTGTAGCAGTAACGGAGAGGTGGTGGAAGGAGAGGGCCCTGGGTTGGTAGCTGCCAGGTGGTGGGGGTAGTCTCCGTTGCTGGCTGATCCTGTGAGACGATTGTAGCTAGCAGCGTATGCACTCCATGAACCAACAGGATCCATTGGTGATCACAGGTATAGTATTTCAACTGTCAATTTTTTTTCTTTTCAAAACTTGTGATCTTTTCATTATTAATAACAACGGTACAAGATTTTATGTTCTTGAAAAGTAGCTGGTCACATCTGGAAAACATTAAAAAAGTTATAATAGCATATGAATTCAAAACATCTTCTTACATACTTCTTCATATGACCTTCAGGAATATTTTTGGAGGCTCACAAATAAACTTGGGGTTGAAAGTACAACACACTTTGCATTGGTGGCTTATGGAGCAGGGCTATCGCTGCCATCAGAGGGTTCTTACATTTAGTAAACCTAGGGCAATAGTAGTAGGGTATGTAGGCCTACATCATATCACTCAATACTTTGTCTGCAGTAGAGTGTTAACATGAGTGCTGTCATTCAAAATACTACCTTTTATTATGTTCAATCTTTGATTAGATACATTATGGTGAAAACCCGCAAGCCAATTAATTTTATTTCAGATTTGTGATTTTTACAGCAAAAAGTTATGAGCGATTCCCAGAAAGACAGTCTTGCATTATTTACTTTTAAAAATTACCAAACCATTGTTCAAGATGAGGGTGGTAGACCTACTGGTAGATCAAGTATTGACTGACATCTGTATTAAGACCACTGGAACCCACCAGACACCAAATATTTGTGGTAAAAAAGTTTTTTGACAACCATTTTGTGAAATTGTTTTCTATGGTTCATGAAACAAACTTATACTCCACGCCAAAGCTGGTGGCGGCTGAGGGATTAGGACCGCCAGGTAGGACTACATAGGTCGGACCTGCTCACCGACCTGGCCGTCCTAATCCCTCAGCCGCCACCAGCTTTGGCACGAAGTATAAAACAAAGTTAAATTGGCTGTCTGTCAATAGTTTGTCAGTCACTAGACAATGCCTACCACTGGGACAGCAGGGTTGGTACTACATAAGGAAAATAAAATTCCCAGACTTTTCTAGGTTTTCCAGACTGATATTATACTCTTTCCAGGTACCTATCCCGTAAGTCAATATCAACTAATCAAAATCAAGAAATATAGAAAAAAATTTAAATATTTAACCTAGCCAATTTTATCACTCTCAGAAACAAAACTTGTTTCAAACTATACATATCGATTCCTCCCCCGTACCCATTACCTATCGATATAAAAATCAGTGCTTAAATGTCATTCTTTTTGCCAATAGTCATCACCCTGACTAAGACATGTTTAATGCAAATGTAGCATATATGTAAAAAAGTAATCTTTCAGGAGAAAAATTTCAGAATGTTTTCATAATTCCCTTTCCCAAAACCAACAAAATTCCCTGACTATTCCATGTTTTCCCTGACTGTACCAACCATGGATACAGTAATCACCACTCCTTTCACATCACTCCATTGTCGTAAATATCATAAATCTGGCAATATATTTCAATAGACTTGTGAATCTTCTCCAATACCTATAAATCTGATCACCGAGGAGAGCTTTTGGTGGGATTTGCCACGAGAGTGCTTACTTTAGAATTCTGCAAAAAAAATACAACGAGACATATACAGGCTACTTCATGCACGTACATAATGATGAACGAAAAAACTACTGAGTGTAGGAGCGATCTGGTGCTAAGACGGCTAGCAATAGCTCTCCCAAGTGGCGCCATTGAGAACGGGGGAAATAGAGCAAGACATTTGTGTTGGTGCCGTTTGAGTGCACTGGCCTCAACTCCCTGCTGTTTACTCTTTGTTTACTCTCTAGTTTCAATCTTATTAAAGGGTATGCATAGATTTTACAATTTTTATGTACTATTTTTCATATTTTACAAAGGCCAAAGTTAATTTGGACAGCTGTATTCATAATAAATTGAAATTCCACTGAAACGTAAATAATAGGCCTAACTCAAGCTAAAATTAGTTGTAAAAACTGTGAGTTTCCTTGATATTGCTCTTATACAATCAAAATAAACTCTACCGAGCCATGGCTCAGTCACCCGGTGGCTTACTAGAACCTAACTAAAAATTGAATAAAGAGTGTTTTTTATATAGGGTAGTAGTCCAAACCTTAACTTAAATGTTTGTGTTTGCTGGTGATTGAACCAATTTTTTTTCACGGAAGTTTAAAACTGTATGCACAAACAGTAGGCTAGCAACACACCACTTTTACTGAGAATTGACAAATTGTAATCTTGAAGCAACACTTAAGTAGGCTAGTCCATAAATTAAAACCTCCTTAACCGCCAGATAACTTATAATGCAATTATAACAGAACAAGATCATTTCATTCATTTGAATTGGCAATTAAAATGCTCAGCTATACACACAGATGTATAAATAGGCCTACACAGCTATAACAAATAACTTAGCTTTTGGAGCCTACACACAACTTACACCGAGCTGCGGGCTCAGATTAACCTATAAATTTAGACCTACCTTACCCAGATTTAACAAACTAAATTAGGCCTGATAAGATCCTGCAAACACCATAACTTTTATTCTTAAGAAATTGTTTTTACAGCGTAAACAACACCATGATTCAAACCTACAGGCTAGCCTAAACCTATATTTATGGAGTTGACAGCTGGGGAACTTTCTTGTTTTTAGAAGAAAAGGTGGCAAAGTTTAGGGGGTTGGAATTTTAATTTCAAAAAGGGGTTTTCAACCTTGAAAATTACAAAATATATATAGGATAAGTCATAGGTCTAACTTATAAGTTAACTTAGGTCCTAGTTGGTAGAAAAGTAAACGGAGAGTAAGTTAAAATCAGAAGTAGACCTATGTTAGGCATAACTTTAACTTAGGCCTATTTCAGAAAGTTCAGAAAACAAATCAGAAAGTAAACAAAGACAAAAGCAAGTGGTACCACTGCAACAAGCATGAAGTAATCTTTTATTCTGTATAAAGTATAACGTCATAATAAATTCCAACAGCTGATGAACAATTTTTGTAAATAGCCTATTTTTACGTAGCCTATTGTTCATGTGGCGGATCGACATAAAATGTCGATTTCTAAATCGCATATATATATACAATGTGAAAAGTACAAAAACGTTGTTTTATATACGCTCTTGTAGACGAAGCACAGTAGAATTCAATGTTGTTAGGCTGGTCACACAAATAGAAGCTTTTGATTTTTCAACGCTGAAGGAACAGAACACTTGTCATTGTCTAACCTAAAATGGCGGCGGCGGCGGCGCGAGTTTTTGTCTGATAAAGACGAAGTGTGGGTTTTATCCCTAATTTTAACAGTGTAATGTTCGTTTTAGTTTATTATTTTGTATTAGGCGAAATATTTATGCATTATTTTGCATACATATTTATACATGTGTGATCCAAAATAAGATAAAAAGTTAATGAAGTTTTGTGGGCTATAACAGCTGATCAGTTGTTTTGTTTACATTTTTGCTTTTGTGAAAACCAAATATTCTATTACTTATCTTATTTAGTTATTCTTATATAGAATGATATTATTGGCTTCAAAAAATGTATGGTTTTATCATATTGATTTATTAGTAGAGGGCATTTGTGGATCCATCAACGTGTAGTAGAAGAAATTGACGTTTTCCAATTTTTCCGTATTATTGCTAGTAATAAATCTATAAAAATAATTATTTTGTGTATATTATGATTTGTCTATGTAGAGGAATAAATTCTGAACAAAATGCTTATTTTGAGTTGTGCAATAAAAAATTACGTTACATGTGACACGTGTTTGCTTTTGAAATAAAATTTGAAAAATTTATAAAATTTTATTTTTTTTACTTTTTTCTAAATATCTACCTTTCTAAAATTGGTGTGTATTACCATTTTAGAATTCTACTGACTATGAACAATATATATATATGGTTCAATATTTTGCCGCAAAACGGCCAGCAATAGATTTTTTGTGGCGCGCGCACTACTTTTTGCCAGGTTCACACAAGTGTTGGAAGCACTAATTTATAGACTAGTAGCTGTGCCAAATTTGGTAATTTTAGGTCTTACTCTAAGTGTGTCTAATCAACGTACATTTGGAAAAGGTAATCTACCGCTATATGCAGCAGTTGCCGCCACTTGCCCGTATAAGTGGTGGGGGATTGGCTACACTGCCCGCAAAGCTTGCTGGATATACATAGCCCCTCTACTTCTATTCTGTGCTCTCTGGCCTAGGCCTAACTTACTGGTTATCACAAAGTGGTGCTAACTTACACCTTAAAAATGGTGTAACCGTAAATAAATAAATAAATGGGCCGAGGCTAGGCCTTTTCTGAAGTTTGGAAAAGTTAACTTATGTTAGCCTATGAAATTATTAAAGCATAGGCCTGTAGGCTACATACAATATTTTCCCTAGGCTACAGACAAGTACAGTTTGATTACCTATCTGATCAAAACACCCGAACTTTCTTTAAAGGCATCATTAATTTTGTTTTTATTAATAAAAATATATTTTTCAGCGGGTATGGTTGAACTTACCGAAATAGGTTAGTTGATCTTGTAAGTTATGCCCTTAAGAAACAATTAATGAGAGAAATTCTTGAAGTAGGCTAGGCCTATAATAGGCTCTCTCGACAAAATCAATATCCTTAAACTTAACTAATCACTGGCTAAGATGTAGAGAAACTTGGCTGACCAAAACATCACTAATATTAATATTGCATTGATCACTAACGATACCAGCGACGGCCATATTGGGTTTACGTTTTACTTTTACAAAATTCAACAAAAAAAAGGCCAAACAAAAGTGGCTCGAAAATTTTTTGTTTTGCTCATAGTATAAACCCGATTGGGGTCGAGTTCCCGCGAGGCTCAAAGGACGTTCCATGTTCCATGACTGACGTCATAGTGATGACTGATGGCACGTTTCCCATATTCCAGCTTTCCAAGAAGAATGTGTTGAGTAGTAGTAGTAGCATAGATAAAACATACTCCCGTAGGTAGTAGTATGTTGTCGACAGGTCAACGCTGGGCAGGTACCATGATAAGCATCTAGACTGCCATTGCAACTCCTAGGATCGGTAGGATCGTGGATCAGATCGAAAAACCCCCCACCACCGCTCAGTGCCGATGGCGTGACGTCAACCATTACTGCAACGATACGGAACTGAGTCATGAGCCTTTGTGGTGTAGTGGATAGCGTGTCGGGCTGATAATCTGAAGATGCCGGGTTCGAATCCCACCGGGAGCACTAACTTTTTGTCAACAATTTTTTCATATCAGCAAGTTTGGTTGGTTTGGTTAGGTTATGACAGTTTAATTTTATAATTAAAAGATTGTAAAATTAAATTTGAGACATTTATAATTTTATTTTTATAACAGAGCTATTTTTCGATTAGTAAACCTTCATTCGAGTTTACCATTATCAGCAAGTTTGGTTAGGTTATGATAGTTTAATTATATTAAATTCAAATTTAATCTACAAATTATACGTTTTGACAGCGACAGTGATACAGATAACAATTTTCCGCGAACAGTATGCTGATGCGCCGGTATGATTCGGAAGCGTACGACATGGTGGTGGGGGGTGATCTACTGATCTGATCCACGATCCTCCGATCAGTCCGATCCTCGGACTTGCACTGGCAGTCTAGACGCTAGTGAAACCATGTGCCCGAAAGTAATTTGTCCCTATTCAGACGCCTCCTCAAGACCTAATCCTATTATTGCCGTTTTGCTGGGCGCGTGATGGACTGCATCGACAGTGCAGTATGCCAATTTGAAATTTGTTATCTTGTTAATATCATGAAAACAAATGTCATATTCTGATGCGTCTTGAAATCCTGATAAAATTGACATAACACTAATATAAATTGGCCAATGTTTACTACAGTTTATAAGTAAACAAAAAACACTTGTAGCATATAAGATTACCTTAGGTTAGAACATTATATTTTTGTTATGTGCGGACCTTATTTTCTCAGTTACTATATGTATACAAATGATTAATTTTATGTTAATGTTTTGTAAACAGGTCTAAAATTTTATGTGTTGGAAATTAATTTTGCTATATTGATTTCCATCACACTTTTCCCAGGCAATAAGAAACTAATTCCTTAATTTGCTAATTCCTTTGCTTCTTACTGCCTAAATTTTGGAATCACTCACCAATTTATAGGCATGTTTAAAATTGGGCATATTTTTGTCCTGAATTCCAATTACAGAGGCTTTGCGGTAATGCATTTCGAATTGTAGAGGTTGACTTTGGATTTTGGAGGTAAAATTTTGAATTACGGCAACAAAATTTTAATTGTAGATGATGCTAAATGTAAGTGTAAAAATCACTTTGAACTAGCATACCCGTCCTTCGTATGGGAGGGGCTTATAAGTATAAAATGCTTATTGCAGTTATACTCGATCTTTGCGATTGCAATGTGAGAAGACACGGATTGAGAAAATTTGCTTCCTCAAATTTACGGTATGCTCTAGTATTACACATCTAGCCATAATACTTTAAATGTTTAAATATTTTTGATGCTACAGTATAATATATTCTGTTAATCTGTTTAGGCCTCAAGTAGTTGAAAAGTTTTTCTGGTAGTTGGAGCTAGAGGATACTATAGTATTTGAATATAGATTATTTAATTACCATTAGATTAGTAGGCTACTGTTATAATTGATTGTTATATACATAATTAATTAATCTTTTCTCTATAACTATTAAAAACTTGCTTAAATAAGTTAAAGAATATTAAACAAAAAATGAATTCCCAGATAGCAACAGTCCTTGATTCAAGGGCAACTTCGTTCTTGAATTTTGCTTAAAAATTTAAGTTGATATTTTTGGGTTGATTCAGGACTGTTCCAAGGACAGCGAATCGTGTTTGGTACTCCAGCTCCTGTTTATTGCCTGATTGTTCCTTGTAGCTTCAACGGTTGTTTACCGACGCCACCGCAACGCAGCGGTAGCGGTAGCGCTCCCCCTAAACTACCCTCGCCTCAAGCTCAACTGCAACTCCGCCATTTGCAATATAGCAGTCTAAAACTAAACTTTAACTTAGTCAATAGTCATCGCTTGAACTCTCCTGCTCCTCAGATCTCTTTTTGTTTTAAGTTTATAGTTATTCTAACTCAGTTAAGTGCTTATTGGACTTTTCAATTCTAAACTAAAGGTAAGTTCTTCAAATACAACTGTATTCATTATAAGAGTTCATTATTTCACTTGCTACAGGAACAAAGTTACCATCTAGGCTACTCCTGTCTCTAGGCTTTGATTTTGTCATGTATGAATTTGATCCTAGGATTATTTTCAATCCAACTAGAAACCGTTCACATGTTACATTGATTGTTTTATAAATTGCTCACTTATAATTGTAATAATCACAGGCCTAATTTAGGTGATAGTAGCCATTGCTAACTTCTTTAACCTCAAATAAAGTTAATCAAGCGCCACTATTTTCAGTGTAACTTAACTTTCGACTTTTATAACTAAACTAAACTTAGACCTATACCTATTTTAATATCCCACATGCGAGACTGTGACCTTGACCTAGCCTGTGTGTATATTTATTAGACCTACAACTTACAGTGTGTAATTTATGTTAAGGCTAGGCTAGGCTATATTAAGCTAGATGTTTTGATTCATAAATGTTTTAATTTTTACAAGGTAGCCTGAGTAAGGCTTTTAAATATTGGCCTAGGCCTACCATAAAATGATAAATAAATCCCTATACATATTTGCATTTAGGCTAAGTAGCCTAAGTTACCGTGGGTAAAAATTGTACTAGGGACCAGTAGTCTAGTCTTAAATGAATGTAAATTAAACACAGGGTTACTTGTTAGGCGTTGTATAGGCCTATGTAACTTACATGAATGCCAAGTAAAAAATAGGTTCGGTAACTTAACCTTTAGCCTACTAGGCCTTACTTAAGTTATAGCCTATCTACTCTAGGGGGTTGAGGTAGGCTTCATGCAAAGTCTAGAAGTATCGATGACAATTAGGCTACAACAGCCGAAAAAAGCAATATCGGTAGGCTAATAGGTAGGGCTAATGGTATTGGCAATAGGAAGTCTTGAATCCATTTCAAATATTGTCTGTCATACAATTCGTTATAGGCCCTGTCCGTAATAGATAACTTATGTGTCTTTTTAGTTTAGGCCCACGGTATATGAGAACTTTCATTAGGCCTACATTCATCCGTGACCACGGCGTCATACCGACGATCGCAGGCCTAAGACCTGCCACAGTTAAGCTTAAAGAATTCAAACAAATAAAATAATTTATCCTCTAGGTATAACATGTAAGAACAATGCATAAGTTATAATATTTTAAGACATTTTTTATTTTATGGAAAAAAAACATTTAGCCTAAGACCATCTAATTGAAAAGCCCTCTTCTCTTTTAATATACCGACAGTAACCCTTGAGCTCACATGTAAACTATATACATCTCCCTAAGAACTTACTCGGCTTTTAACTTAAGGTTTGTTTCAATTTTGATTGCCCTTTTAACACTTAAAGTGCCGTTGACATGTTTGAACATGAAAATTGCATTTATTTCAATGTTAAGCAATGGCGGGAATTCCCGTCATCAGCACCCAACGTGTTAACTGTCAATGGGGTTAAGGGTACCCTATAGGCCTAACTTAGACCAGATTGTTAATAATAATTTTTATCGTTGTCGAGCATTGCGATTCTTAAATTTTGTATTAACTTAGGTACCTTATTGAATGGTGCTAGGCTATGAAATTAACACAAGAAATAAAGATTAGACTTGTAAGGTGAACTTATTCCTTAAAGACTTGTGCTACTAAAAAAACTCTCTTTAAACTCAGTTGGTGCCTGTCCTTCTCTTTCAATGAAATAATTATGTTATCATGAGAATCTTTGTATGGTTGTTGAAATAGTTATTTAACTTCATGATGTAATTTTAACAATTTAACGTAAAAAATAGGTTTAGAGTAAATGTGGATAACACAAACATTTAAACTTCAGCTACAGTTTCCTTATCGGTCCACATCTCACAACCTCTAATAACTTGGGGTTTATCTCTACTGAAAAATTCAAGTTTAAGACACCAGTCATGATAGGGGTGTGGAATTTTTAGCCATTCAGGGGTTTCTATTCCAGAAAAACTAGATCTGTGCGACATATGGTGTTAGTAGTTGCAGACATAACAAGATAAATTTCAGACGCTTAAATTCCCCCCCCCCCCCCAATACCCCGGAATCCCAAATCATTTAGTAATACTTGGATGCCAAATGTTTTATTACATGTATTAGCGTACATTTAAATGTTGTAGCCTCTGATTGAGAACCTCTAAATTTTGCTGTTTGGTTGTTGTTGTAGATTAAACTTATATTTGTCTTAATGTTGCAGTGGCTGCAAGAAAGAACTTTTCTGAGGCTACAGAGGCATCAATAAAGACGTTGATTAGTAATTGGCTACAGCAAGCCAAATTCAGGACCAGCAGGAGGTATATTTCGTATTATTATCTGATTGCAACTTTATTTACATTCTAAGCTATGAATTGTATTGTTAACTAATATGTGTCTTTTACAAGCAATGAATAAATAAGCGGAATAAACCAATTTAAAACTTTTAGGTTAGGGTAAGGTAGTTTACCGTAAAGTGGGATTATTTATTGCCGCTGAGTGTGTTGTGTAACATTACAGTGATGTGGTCAATGAATATTCCTAACTAATATGTGTCTTTCACAAACAATGAAAGTCCCACAAAGCTTGA